TGTTAAAATTGTTCTCCACTCCACTGCACTGTTACATTCAGTAGACTGTAAATAATGTGTGCGTAAGGGCCATCACTGATGCTGTGACACTGACAGAAACCACACTGAAGGACCACAGTCTCCTTCACAGCCTCTCTCACCGTCACGGTGGCTGCTGCCCCCCCCCACACACACACACACCTCAACGACATCATCCCTCAGCCGGAAGATGTCGTACGATGTAAAAAGAACGGCTGTAACACATTTGTCTACCTCGTCAGCACTAACACTTCTGTACCGCACTCATTTGTGCCACTGACCCCTGGGTCAACCGCAGCAGGGCCCGAGAATGAATCCATATGCTACCAGAGCTGACAGGAAGTGCAGACGGGGGGCATCTCAAAAAGCCATTAAGAGCCAAGGAGAATGAAAGGTATTTTTTTTTCAATCAAAACTAGATCACATCCACAAAGAGGTTTTAAAATCCTTAACACGTGCATCAATTTTCCTCTGTGAAGTCTGTCAACATCATATCGTCATGTTTCCAAAAATCATGAGGTGCGGTTTCACACATCGCTCCACGGCTAAGAGTCCGAGGTCAACAACAACAACAACAACTTCATTCCAAAACGCTCACATGATGATGATGACGACAATAAACCACAAAGCCCCCCCTGCTGGATGTAGTACTACTGCAAGACCTCAGAAAACGCCCACCCACCCCCTTGCTAGTCGTAGTACTACTGCAAGACCTCAGAAAACAATGGAAACTGAAAAACTAAAGTACAGTGGTCCCTCGTCTATCACGGGGGCTACAGTCAAACTTAGTGAGAGCGCGAAAGCTGACCCGCGATACAGCGAGAAACGACTGTAATAATAACAATGAAAACAGCAACAGCAATAACAATAATAATGACAATGATGATTTATCACTAACTATAATCATATACTAAGTGGGGCTGCCTTCAGGTTTAACCTGGACTGCACCTTTGTGTTCTGTTTCAATATTATATTCCAGTATTTTGTCTGGTTTGGACGTTCATTATTCATACTGTGGGAGCAGCCGGAACCTGAGAAGGAACTCTGTTATTACTGATGATATTTGTCATTTATGTTATTTTACTGTGTGTTTCCTCCTGTGCTGCTGTTTGATCAACAATTAAACTCTTCAGGACTGTCCTGCGGCTGTTGCCCATTAAGGTTGCGGGTGGTGTGAGTGCCCGGGGGTGAAGGGGCAGTAAACCATAATCTCGCCCTGGGCACTAAAATGGTAATCGAGCCAACTCTGACCAGGAGGACCAGTTTGTTTTTTTTTTTGCCAACAGTGAAAAGCTGTTGGTAACACAAATAATTTGTTTTTGTTAGAATTCTAACTTTTTGTGTCTCCAGGATTGTATTTAGTGGCCTTAGAAATGTCTCCTCTGACAGCCAGGGGAGACGGACGTATGCGCAGAAGCACTCGGTCGCAGTCTTGTTAACACTCGACCACACTGCTCTTCCCAGAGGCCAGTCGTAAATGGTTTAATTGATTTTACAGCCTTTCCAGGCATCACAGGCAGAACTGCACAAATAAAAATCAATGTCCTGTTAAGGCGGGAAAAAAATATGCGTATAAATATTGCACCGTTTCTCTGCAATGAAGCAGCATAGTTGGGGCAATACGCACTGGAGTAGAAATGATTAGCTCCTGCTGACCTGGGAGCAGCAGCGGAGAGGAGTCAGTACTGATGCTGCTCAGCTTTTCTTCATTTTTTTTTCACGGTTTCTGACATAAAAGTCGTGCTTTACGGTCATCATCAGCACCTAATGACCAAACACAATGTATCCCACCTTCATTCTCTCCGAACAGCTCGAAAAATTGAGTTGTTGTGGCAATAAATTGGACGGTGTTGACAGCACTATAGAAGCATGAAATGGATATTGATCCTTTTGTGCTTCTTATTTTTCTTCACAGACTTTTCTCGCTCTATTAATGGTCGTAGACGCAGCATCAGCCTGGAGTTATTATCCTAATCTTCAATGTTCTTTGTTTCTTTGTGAGAAAATACTAAATCACACTGAGTGATAAATGCAGGAAAACTGACAGAACTATTCTCAGAAAATTAATCATTTTTTCTACTCCCCAGTTGGCTGAAAGTTATTAATGAGAAATAAAAGATGTTTTTTTAACCACACTGAGGATAAATAGAGGTTTTTAAGGACTCTCAAAATCTAATACTACAAGTGACCGCAATGATCTGACAAAAAAAAAGCTCTTTAATATTTATAAAGTTCAACCAAATGCTTTATAGATAACTGATTTATGGTGTTCAAGGATATTTTCAAGGGTACGCACTCCTGGTGTTTTTCTGCCTGAGGATACAGCAGGCAGCTGTGTGTTGTAAATTTCTCTGAAGTGAAGGTTGCCTTCATCTGTGCAGGATGGAAGTGTCAGGAAAACAGTGGAAATGAAGACTATTTGATTCACTTATGCCCTGCTTTGTTTTCTATATCCACTGGAAATGAGACCTAATCTTCAGAGAGGCTATTTTCTGTAACCCCTCCTTCCGAGCCCTCCCATCCAAGTCCCCCAACCCCTCACTTATATTCTGGCAACGGAGATAGTCGCTGACATATGTGGCGATTGTTACTGTATTTTCAGCCGATGGTAAGAACACAATGTTTTGTGACCCAAACGGACCACTTTACAGGGATGAGGCTGCACGCTGGGACTGAGGTTTGATATCATAATGCTGAGCCCTAACAGAGAGACACCAGCAGAGAGGATGAGAGGGGTTTTTAAACCGACCATGACATCCAAGATATGCAACATACAGAACGAATATATATACTGTACATCTACATATAAATATATATACAAATATATACTTATATATAACGTATGTTCTACATGTTCTCTGGCATTCTCGTTTAATAAAACACAGGATACTGCTGAACATGGCAGTATAATTAAACCAGGAGAAGGTCTGTACATCAGGTCAGAACAAATTAAAATAAACCTCAGCTGTCAACACTGTTTTAGATTAACTACGAGGCGGGTTTACAAGCTGGTGGCGCCAACAAGTGATGCAGACAGATGAAGAAGATAACAACAGGACGACGAGAATATTAATGTGGAGCTAAAGATAAAAAAAAAGGCACAGAGAAAATGCTGTTCAATTAATTCTTATATTTCATTATATTAACTCCTATAAAAGGACTATTATTAAACTGCTGTTGTGGCAGATGGTAATTTAAATTAAATTGCAATAGTGAATCAGGCTTTTATTGAGATGCATCATTTTTAGCTACTTTTCCCTAACTTTGCATTTAACAGGTGAACTCTATTTGGCTACTGTGTAGCTTTTGTGATTATTGTTTATGTATTTTATGCTAACAGTTCTTAGCTTTAGCATGTTTTTACTACAAAGTTGAATTAATTTGTCCAATCGTTTTGTTATTGTTGACCTACATAAAGACCAAGTTTTTTTTTATTTTCTTGTTTCTTAGATAACTGCTAACTCTGGGCTGAATTTAATGTATAACTTTGGTGAAGTAAAGCTAAATTAATAACCAACTAACTGAGTGACTAACTGAATAAATCCAGATTAACTTTTAACTTTTTAGCTTAATTATAGCTACCTCTTGCTACCTTTTCAAAGTTAAATCAGGTTTGCCTAACTTTTAGCTATTTATTAATTTTTTACAATTCTTTTGCCATTATACTTTTGTATATTTTTTTTATAACTAACACTTTTCTATCGCTCTGCTAAACTTGTTTTGCAGTTTTATCTGGATAACTTTTTTCTCCAACAACTCCTCGCTTTATTAGAGTTGAAATGTGAACACGTACACACAACATAAATTTGTAATGCACTAAATAAATAAATTATGATGCTGTTCAGTTAGCTTCAACTTAATTGTAGCCTGGAGTATCTCAGGAGGAGAAGTTGGACCTTCATATATGTCTTTACATTTTTTTTAAACTGTTTTACACACAACTCAAATGACAAAGACACAGAACACAGAATGATGCAAAAGATCAGATGATCTTTTGCATCATTCTTCTCCTCAGCCTTCACGCCATTTGACATAAAAGCAACCTTCATCCTCCAGATTCATCATTTCTCCTGTCCCTCTGATGCCTCATTATTAGCTGCACCTCTTCACTAAGACACAGAATGATCGATTGTCGGTGCCTGAAAATGGCAGGAGTCGAGCACTTTGTTTGCACATGAAAAAAAAAGAAAAAAGAAGAAGAATTGCAGAGTGTGTGTTTAACACACACTGTCAAGATGCCTGAATACTGCATGTGGAGTCTTGGTGAAAAGCAACAGCCATGTTGTTGTTGTCAGAGCAGGAGTGGAGGAACATGGGTTTTTAGTCAATGAATAAAAGTACATCCCACACACACAAACACACACTTGTTTTTACATTAGTATAAATGCATAAAGTATTTCCACAGAGTTGACCTGCATCTAGTGACTGTACTGACTTGTGATTAACAACTACATCACACCTTCATTTCACTTCCTCTAATAAAAAACACTGCATTCCCATGCAGTGTGCCGCAGTGGCGCCCCCTATTTCAGGGCAAAAAAAAAAAGACATATTTTTATATTATCTTTAACTGTGTATCTTTTATTTCTATTTTAAATTATCATTTTTATATTATCTTTAACTGTGTATCTCATTATATCACAGCGGTTCGTCATCGTCATATTTGGCCAACAATAAACAGTAAACTAAAGGGCATCTATCTTTTGTTAATCCAACCACAAGGGGGCGACATTTCAGTCCTAATACTGGTCTCATACCGCAAAAAAATAAAGTTTTACCACAAGCCATTGCTCCATTTCCTCTAAGACAGAGTCTAAATAAAATAAAAACCTGATGCAATAAGTTAAATACAATAAAATAATGTGAGTTTTAACAGAGCAAAGGACGAGCTGCACAGTTTAAATGTCGGCTAGGATTAGGCACTAACGAAGGTGGAAAATCAATGACCGCTGTTTGTATGTCAAAAGCAGTAGATTCTCATATATGTTTAGTTGTTTAATATGAGAGAACATGGACAGTTGAAAGGAAAAACAGCTTTAAAAACGAAAAAAAAACTTAGAAATAAAAACTGAACACATGTCTGGACATTTTCAACAGAGAAGGAAGTAGCAGTAAAAGGTAGCGAGTTTAATTAACTGGTTTTAAACTGACCTGTCTTTCGCTGCGGTGACAACTATCGTGAAACGTCGGTCGTCGAACGCCTTCTTTTTGAACAGTCCGGTTCACGAACAAAAATTTTTAACCAAAAAAGTGTTCTGGTTGTAGTCCCATCACTCGGTTGCCGAACAAGCTAACAACATCAGGCGGACAGGAAGTGGTCACTAAGGGAAAGCCCGCGCACCGGAAGTACACATTAACACCGATGTTGCCACTATTTTTTCTAGTGAAGGAGGAAAGGCGGAAAGAAAACTACAGTGAACCCCCGAGATACGAGTCTAATCCGCACCACAACATGCCTTTCCTATTTATAGCTTTATTCTTTATTCATTTGTGTTTATCTCATTATGTTAGATATAATTATTTTCATTGGTTTTGTGTATGAACTTGTAATAAGCAGTCACCCGGGGTCCAGGAATGAATTCATCCATTTGACATTGTTGTTTCAGATATCGAATTTTTCGGCTCGCGAATCGGCCTTCAGGAACGAATTAAGTTCGAAAACCGAATTCCACTGTATTGCATTTAAATAAATAATGAATAAAACTCAGAGCCTCTATGATTGGTGAAGACCTAGCTCCTGTCTTATCACAACTAGTAACTACAATCTTATGGTCTCAGTGCTAATTGGGTGATTTAATGAATGATCTGAGGCTTTTGGTTCAACAGGATTCTACAGTATTAATGTATTAAGTTTTAGTTGGGTGTTTTTTTCCACTATGTTGCAGTATTTTGGTGACCTTATATTAACCTGACCTACATTAAATGCAGTAAAGGGCAAACATAATGAATGACATCAGATTATAATAATTCGTGTCATAATCCATAATTATTCACCAAAAGCCGACGTTACTCTGGTCCAATAAACAGACTTTTCTAATTAAAACATTAAATCAGTGATCACACTGTGCTGATATAATGGACTTGTTTCTTATGAACCAGTGGTTCATTCCAGGAGCTGCAGACTCACCAGCTGCATGTGGGAAGTAATGGAGCAGAAACCGTCTTACTTGTGTTCAACAGGGTAATGTGTGTGATTCATGAGAGGACACAGCGGCCGAGTGTGTTTGTCCTCACACTGGAACACCGTGCGTGTGTGTGTCCTGAGAATCCTTGTTAAGAAGAACGACAGCAGAGTCCTGCAGGTCACATACATCATTTGAATATCCCTGCAGGAGGGGAGAGGGTCAGGTGGGAGGGAGGGGGGGACAATAGGGAAAGCAGCTTAGTAATTTCTGAAGCATATCCAAGATAGTGTTATACAGTGTAATAAAAAAGCAGCAGATATTCTAATAGGGGCTTACATTGTAGCTGGCCTTCATCTCTGCTCGTCTCCGCATCGGATCTTGTTCTGGAATAGCAGAGAAGAGGAATCTTAAAGCCAAAGATAAAACCTTCCTTACTTTTGAGATGCCAAATTTGTCACGGTTTTGCAGGGAAATGAAAATGCAAAAATGTCTGCGGACCCCAAGGGAAATAATACGTTTGAAAATCAGGGACGAAATAAGATTTGATTCTGGGCAAATTTGTGGCAAAGTCAGTTCAACGTCGTCGTTTTACACGATACTCAAAGTCGACATATTTAATTGACAATAACTTATTATAGTGAATAGTAATAGTACAACACACATTAGATGTAGTTACTATACTACTGTTAATGAAGTGATAATAAGTAATAATAATGAACTATTAAGTATTCATCATGTACAGTAGACAAACTTGTTGTCTAGGTGTTTAATCTTTTAGTGATGTCATCACCACCTATGGATGCCAACCAATGGATGATGGAGTTTTAATGGTGTTGGCCAATCATGTGCAAACAACTTTCTGCCCTGGTGTTTTTTTTTATCCTATCTTGAACATTTTCTGTCAGTTTGGGTCAATAATAATAATAAAAACATGTTTTTTGGATCATATCATTTTCTGTCAATTTGGGTCAATAATAATAATAAAAACATAAATAAAACAATTTAAGTTGAGCCTTACTGCGTATTTTCCACATCTTCCTCCCCAGTATGACCAGTCCCACCAGGGCAATTAGAGCAGAACACACCGTCAAAGACTCCAAAATGTGACTGAAAAACAAACACACATACACACACACACACACACACACACAGTCTGTATACAGTGGCTCAGTAAACACCATGTTGGTAGTCACTGTCTCCCCACTGGGTCACGTGACAGCCAGGATAATGATAAATGGATATTCCTCTGCAAAGACTGGTGTGATCATTATCTGTGCTTGGCTGGGTGAACTCAATCATGGCACCGCACGGTGGCATCAATAATGCTTAATAGCACGGGGAGCATCCCATCACATATGGGAGGCGTGCTAACAGGAGTGGCATATTTACATCAGAACTCATGTGTAAGTACACGGTGAAGAGGTGTCATTAGGGAGTGTGTGACTGACCCGTAACTGTTCCAGGACTCCTTGGAGATGGCCTTGGGTGGAGGCAGGTGTGCAACAGATGAACCTGGTGTTGGTGTAACAGACGCCGCTGCCACCGCTGCTGAGGATGAAGACGTGGAGAAATGATGTGTTATTACAGCCCGAGAGCGACAGAGCGAGTCAGGTCATCAATATTCTTGATAAGTGGCTGGTGATAATCAATACAGCGCTGAACAGCAGACATGGGAGTCTGCGACGTGATGTGGAGTGTCACAAACACGTACTGATCTTCAGAGCTGAATGAAGCTGTTCATCATTTCATTGACATGGAGAAAGAACGGGACTAAATGGATTTAAATGAGTTGACACAATCCAGGTCAATATTCTAACCCATCATCCTGTCATGATTTTTTTTTCACCATCCTAGGAGAGAAATAAAAGTAAAATGTGTATCTAAAAAGGTGTACTTGACTAAACTGAATAAACTGAAGCATTAGTTGTCGTATTGAAAATTAAATGTATTTTAAAGTTGCAGTAGAAAGTAATTTGGTGCTTTCAAAAGCAGCATCCAGTCAATGCCGTTACAACAAATGTCATACTCAGACCTGAATTGTTTTCTGCAGAACAGTATGGTGGCCTTGAAGGGCAAACCACGATGGCAAATCAGAAACGACAATGACATTTTTGTTCCAGGTGACGGTAAGTTTGACGTCGTTCCAGTCGTCTCGGTGAAAGCATTAACGCTATCAATATGAAATACTTTACTGGTCACATTTCAATTCCAACAAAATTCCCAGCAGCTGCGGTCTCGACCGGTCTTGACAAAAAAACAATCCCTATTCCAGGTCGACCGGGACGAGACAAGACTGAGATTTTGAAAGTATGACTGCTCTGGAGTACTACATCTCTAACATGTACCCACTATTGTATCTAAATAAACAAATAATATTACATTTTGGTGTTTTATAAACCAAATTATTTCTGGTTGTTTTTGGGAATTATCTAATTTAGAAACTGATGAAAGTGACAGACTCCAAATCAACTATGACAGCCGTCAGTCTGTTCCTTGAATGTTAATAATATAATCCCTAAAATCTTTCATATATTGGACTGAAAATCTTCAAGGTTCAACAGTAACACTGTCACCTCCAAAGAGTGAACCTTTGGTGGATGCTCCTCTGACACCAGGTCTGAAGATGGACTGCAGAGCCATTGACATCAAAATCTAAACTTTGTAATGTTTACGTCCAACAAATACAATTACATTTGTCAGTGAAGAAACTAAAAACTTTAAATTTGTAGTTTAGATGTTTCATTTTTTTCTAATATATTTTTGCCTGTACAGAGAGTTTCTCTTTGCTGCAGCAGCTCTTCATCGCCTTCATGCGACAAGTGAAAGTGACAGTCACCGAAAACCAATTAAACATTTATTGTCCTTGTGTTGTGCCTGTCCACTGTGTAACTCTACCTCACTGATTCACTCACACCTGTCTAATGAACCTCTTTGTCTGTGGAACTTGTCAGTGTCTATATAATTTATCGTTCTCATTAGTTGGCGAAGACCAAAACATAGCTGAAGGGGGAGTGAAATTTGGAGTTACATTAAAAAAAAGGCCAAAAAAAAAAAAAAAACCTTGTATTTCAGTAGAATACTAATGTAGCCCTTCAGGCTGTTTGCTAAAAATATTCTACTTTGGGGTGACAGTGTGTCTCTGTTGGTTTTCTTTATCTCTAGTCACAAAGAGCAGTCAGCTCTTTATTCCTGATAAATTGAAGAACCTACTGGTCGTGGGTCGCGGCGTGACCGACACCTGCACGGCGATCTTCTGCTGTCCTGCAGAACACCAGTACCAGCCACCATCTCTCATCTGCAGCTTCTTTAAGGTTACAGTGAAAGCCCCAGTTCTGTCATCGCTGATGGCGACTGAAGTGTCCTCGTAGATTCCTTCAGAGTCTGTCACCAGACAGGAGCTCCAGTCTCCGCTCCGACACCACTTCTTCACGCTGTCTCTGTTGGCAAACAGGAGTCACAGGGGAGTCAGCCAAGGCTGAGTGTCGGGATTGAAGACATCCAGCAAAAAAATGATCTTTGCCGAGTTTATTTGCACTCTGGAATTCTGTTTTGTGCCCCAGTCTGACAGGTAAATAAGGAGAAATAAATATGGGTAAACAGGGGGAAAATGAAACAGACGTGAGTGGAGAAAAATCAAACACCTGTATCTCTCACTGTAGAGACATTCAGCCGTGACACGACTGCCTTCCTCCCCACTGAGTTGGCTGTTCAATGTTGACATACCTGCAGGAAAAACACAAAAACTGTCGACTGTACATAAGACACAGATGGAGCTAAGAGTTTACAAAGAAAAGGCCTAGAAAAAAAACAGAGAATTGCCTCCATCTTACAATTAACACAAGACTACAGATGAGTCCAGAATATTCTTGTTTTGTGACATTTCCTATTAATGCCCTCAAAATATCATTGCAACAGCTATGCAACATTGTAATGGATTCCTTATGAACATTATTGTGTGTTGTGTTCTTGTAATTGGAAGGACGTTATCGTCAAATGTGTGTTTAACTTGTAATTGGAAGGACGTTGTCGTCAAATTTCTACTTTTCCGACTCCCGATGTGATCTTAACTTACCAAGGTGCCATGTCTTATTGAAGGCCTTCAGTCCAGCAGTTGAAACTTGTAATATTTACATAGTATACCATTTGGTATCATAAATATTCCTTTATAGATTAAATGATGCATTTCTTCCCAAACCAGTGGAGAACTTTAGTGATCCTTCCAGAGCTTGACTGACAGCAATTAATTCAAAAGATAAATAATTTATTGTAAATGGTATGAGTGTCTCCCCCTTTGGGGATATGGAGTTATTTAAGTGTTGGCTAGCTCACCATGAATGACCTTGATGTTGGTAAATGCCACAGCATCAGCATTCCAGAAGCCACCGATCTCCACGCCGCACATGTACCACCCTGAGTCTGCCTCCTTCAGGCCGTTCAGGGTCACCGTGAACACCAGCTGGACCGGGTCATCAAAAATGCTGATTTTGTCCTTGGCCTCACTGGTTTCATCAGTTCGGGCCAGACTGGTGCAGAACTCTCTGGTGCGGCCCTGGCACCAGTACTTTACATAGCCGGCGTACTGAGGCTCGTAGTGACACGGGATTTTGAGGGAGCGCCCTTCCAGAACAGCAACATCTTTCACTGTCGTCACCCCGCAGAGGAAGGCTGACGGAGAGTGGGAGTGAGTGAATAACAGGCAGAAGCTTGATGTTCTGCAGACACAACCCAAGCTCAGTGTTTCTTATCTGTGCCTGAGAAACAGGGAATGTCGCCTTGGGCAGAGCTCGGAATGAGATTTATGGTTTCACTTCCTCAGAAACACATCACTTTCACTTTCCCACTACGGCTGATTCCAGAATTGGATTATCCTTCTGTACTACAGATTTTTGGGGGGAGGACAAATGGAGCTGGATTTTAAAGACTTAGCCAAATAAACATCAAATACCGTCCCACTGGTGGGAGAGCATTACGAGAGCGTGGGGATAAGAAATTGTTTCTTCTGATATTAGCTGAAAATGGCAACTTAACAGTGTAAACAGCCAAAGATTCTAAACTCCATAATGTGGTGTAGTAGGGAAACGCTTTTCCAAAACAGCACCATTATAAAACAATAGGATGATTATGAAGCCATAAGGTCAGACAACAGTCATTAATCAGCCCTGAAACCTCTTTATAAGTTGCCAATATAAAGACTGAAGGTTAGCTGTAATCGACTTCTCTCTTACCTGGGATCCATGTGAACAGACTGAAGATGAAGAGCTGCAGCATGTTTCAACGCCTGTTTGACGTTTGCCACCCGAGAGTTCCCAACTTCTGTAAACACAGAGTCTGGTTTCCGCAACACTGACTTCCTCTTTGTCACATGACCTGGTTGGTTACTTGGATCCAGATGTTCCAGATGTTAACCATGTAGGTGCCGGGCTGATGGGATAAGAGCAACAAGACAGAAGACCTTCACCGTACAAACAAAGTACAGATGAATCACCTAAACTTTTAGACTTTTAGACACTTTGACAATGGGATACAAACCAACCTTCATAAGAGTGATTTCATTTATTAAAATATATATAACTATGAGAGAATACCCTGTGGAGACAACTCACTGGGACAAATGTCAAGAGTTTTGAACGTCTGAAGTAGACGTTTAACGTTAGCATTAAGACTGAAGATAACGGGAGGAGCAAACTTAAATATGCCGAGGCTACAGGAAGTAGTTTCCTGCTGTTTGTCCTTTTCTATAGGAAAATGTAATAATAATAATAATTAAAGTAATAATAATTATTATTAATATTGTTAAGCTAAAACAGGCTGCCAACGGGAGGCACCAAGTCCAAAAACACATACAGTGAATAATATTAAATAATAACTAAAAGAAAGTACAGCATATATGTAAATACAGTATATATATTTACACACATACAGTATATACATAAACATCTGTTTGTGTGAGAGTATATATGTATGCGTGATAACCCTCATTATACTGTGTCTAAACATTAGAACCTTAGGAGTAAAACGCTCCCTTGATTTTTTTAAATGCTCAACGCTGTCGCCCTTTTTTTCAGTCCATAGTCAGAACTTTATCCCCTCAATGGAGGAAGATAATTTCTTTGGCCGGCCATAAATGTGACAATTAGATAAAGCCTTGGCTGCCGGGATACGATACGGGCCTCACTTGCTGGATAAAGCTGTCGTGCTCTCAGCCCTCACTGTCACCAAATGAATAAACATTTATTCCAGGCCTTTTTGCTTCATAAATGGTGTGAAGGATGTCCCAGAAGCCCCCTGCTTTTTAATCCGCCGACAAAGCCCTTAATGCTCATTCATTTGCAGGGATAATGTGAGCACATCTCAGAAGTGGAAGTGAGCCCTCACTGTAAGAGGCTTTGACAAAAACAATACGCAATCATTTGGTAGACGTTTGTAAATACTGACATCAGTGGAGTCAGAACGACTGCGGTGATGAATACACGCCTGATTACAGCGGCAGCTGAACACACACTGACAACCACCGTGTTGACGGTTCTACTGACCTGGTCCGTCCTGGACCACAGACGGAGCTGCAGCCAGTCCCACCTGACGAGCGAAAGCATAATTGTGGGGAAGTGGCAGAGGTTAGCGCTCAGCTGCAGAGGGGAGAAAACATGGGAGAGAGAGCATGGGAGTGGCCCGGGACACAGGAGTAATCAGGGCTCTTCTTTTATTAGTAGGAGCCGAGAGGAGAGCATTACCTGTGTCGGTGTCCAGAGTGAACCCACGGCCAAAAATGCACATTTATTACTTTCACCTTTGAAGCTGTAGACTTATCAATACTTAGTCAGCGGTGGGATGAATTCCTGAGATCCTTCTCACCACGAGTCTTTTGTGTCTATATGTAAAAAGAAAAAAACATGTTAGAAATCCTGAAAGAGAAGTCTGAAATAAAACTAAAATAAACACTAAACTAACATAGACTTTCCTTTGAAGTCTCCAAAGCCTTTTGGTGTTATTGAATTATTTACAACAGTCATATTTTGGGCAAATTTTCTTGCGCTTAATATCAGTTACTGTGTATAGGCATTGTGGGAATATAGGATTTCAGAATGTGAACAGTGGAAAAAAGTGAAAAAAAAAGGATTGGAATGGGTGGAGATCAGTGTCAGGGGTGATCTGTCAGGTTGTCTGGGTTAGACAGTGTGTAAAAGGCTGAGCAGGAGATGAAGATGCTGAGGGCGTGACCAGGATGAACGGGACTAGAAAAGGTTGAGCAGATTAGAGATAAAGTCTGAGAGATGGTGGAGATGGAGTTACCAGGAATGGAGAGAAGTGGAAAATGGATGGTGGATGTCAACAGAAGAGGCCGGGATAGGGTGAGATGGAGGCAGATGATTCTCTGTGGCAACACCTGGAGGGCGGAGCAGAAAGAAGACACTGTGATGAAATGCAAAGCAATGTGAAATCCAGAGGCAAGACAGTGGTAACACCTGACAACAGTAGATTAACTCAGGTAAACTAAACAGAGGTTTGATGTACGTTTCCATCACAGAGAGAGAAGAACGACCAGACCAATCAGTGGAGATAAACGCCTCACTCTGATCCCTACTGTGTCTGCTGTGTCAGGTCCTAATATTGTACACACTTTACTCTTGTTTCAATTACTCTAAAAATGATTAAAACATCAGTCACTGCCGTTACATCTCTGTCCTGATTAAATGTCTCCATCAGTACGGAGTTAAACAACCTTCTCCCGCTCAGCAGCCGGCCAAAGAGAACATTACCCCGCGGAGCAGTGAGAGGGTCTCCTCCTGTGATGGAATCAAACACATTACCGCACAATTGCTGCAAATGGAGGGGGCATTACTGTGGCTTAGTGACATTTGTCACAGTTTGCACTGACCTGAGGGGACATTGCAGTGACTTTGGTCTGACAGAGCTGATTGTGAAGGAGCAGTGTGAGCTGGATGTGAAAGCGCCTCGCATATAGAGATGAAAAATAGACTGACGCCAGTGGAGACGACCCAGGTTTCTGCTCTAAAGGTCAGAGCTGAATCTCTCCTTACACTGATTTAATGGCAGCCACGGAGGAGGTCTATCTGCTCAGCTCTGTACACATTTAAAAGATGACATTAGCATCAGTCCTTTAGAGAAGAGGATGTCATAAAGTAGAAGTGATTCCGGGAACACAGTCTTACATTTGACTCTTCCATGACCTAACAGGATAGCGATAGAGACAGGGACGCCGCCAAGGAAGAATTGAGCCCTGCGGGCGAAGTACAGGACATTTTGACTCTTTATTGTGACATTTAGTGTCTCATCCTTGATAAAAGCTGTTAAAAATGAGCAGAGGCTATTTCAGAGAAGGACGAGAATGTGATCCTTTTGCCGCGTTATCACCGACCGTAACATGTAGACGGTGATGTTCCACCGGGGGGAATACTGCAGGTTTTTAACGGTTCACTGCACAACAATAGTTTATTGGTAGAGTAAAAACAAGTCTTATATGAAATAGGTATTTTACTCTCGTAAAACAAGTCGTCAAGGTATGCATAAACAAACAAAAACGGATATGGCCCATGTTCAAACAAATGTAGTATTATAATGTAGTGAAAAAAGTCAAACTTACCCAAACGCTGATCACAACATATCCAGAGATGTACTTTACTGAAATGATGAATTCTCAACCAAGACATTTCAGGACAAATTACCAGAACAACAGCTTCATTTTAACAGCACAATTATTTTATTTTATTTTATTTGCCTCAGCGAAAATGGGAATGCTTTACAAATTTAACCATTACAAAAATGAAAAAAAAAAAAAAAGTTAAATCAGTAAGAAAAGGTTTACTGCATCACTCTTGACAAGATGCAATTGACTCCTTATGGACGAAGAGACGATGCAGCTCCACGTCTTGTTGGGGACTTTTCTGAACTCCTTGTCGTGATCTTAAAAGAATAAAAAATAATAATAATGGGAAAATGGAGAAGAGTGTGTGGAGTTAGTGGCACTGCAGTTATGTAACATGAAACAAGAAAACAGAATGTCCTTTGAACCCATCTCCCGGTGTAAAAGAAAATTTAATAACATCGTTTTCTGGGAGAGCAAAAGCAATATTTGGTATCGTGTGGATCTCTCTGGAGGAAATAAGCCTCAAGTCTTCCTTATCGCATTTACAATCTGGATATGTTGTGTTGAGAAATAAGCAATGACCTGGCAAGGACGGTGGATGTGACTGACAGAGCCCAAAGCACAAGATTGTGTTTCATTTTATAGCATATTTCAGTATAAAAGAACATTCATTGTTCACTCTGGGACTGGAGGCGACATCCAGGTGAGATGTGCTTCACATCACTGTAGACAGTAACATTCTAGTAGAACGTGAGACTTTTCAAAATGAGCCTCAACCGAGTAAAAATATTTCATGTATATTTTTTAAGTAAGAAACCAAATAAATATATATAGTAACAATAAACAAATGAGTGGAATTCACACCTTCTAAGGGAGGAGCACTGATGTCAATTCAGCCAATGAAGTTCATCACAACCAAGTGGAGGACTGTGTGGGCAAAAAGGAAATCAGCAAAGGCTCGCTCTGGTGAGATGGACAAGAAATCTCCTTTGTTCTGTGGGTTGATCTGGATACGAAGACACACTGCAGGGAAAAAAGTCAAGTTAAAAACTGTTGGCACAACCACCCAGTACACAAGTGTAATGTAATTTAATAGAAATTTAAAATACATCTTTTACTCTGTACAGTACATTAACCTATGTTCAAATTGTAATTGTACTAATTATGTCTACACAGCTTTGTGAATACAGCTGTAAAACAACGACTGGTTCTATTTATTTCTATCTAATCTACTCTGTGTAACAGATTACAGAACAAAAAACTTTTTCTGAATAACCTGCTCAAAATTAATTTAAAAGGAAACTGCTACGTAGTACAACGAATCACAGAAACATACTAAAATCCATTTAAAAATCATTAACTCTGCAGAGAAAACTAAATATCAATAAAATAATCACTGTTTTTATTTTAATTAACACTGTATTATGTACGTTTTCCTCGTTAGCTTAGCTAACTGCTCTACTGATAGCCTTTTCAGTCAAGAAGAACACGTCACAAACACATTCACTGTGGTATAACATTCTCTTGCAAATTAAAACACATTTCTACCAGAGAAACAATCTTACCTGCGAGAATGAAGGAGCCAACGCAAGAAATGAAGCCCGACAAGAAGCTGTTGAAGGGAAATGTCCCAACGAGCAGACAGTAGAGGAACTGCAGCGCACCTGTCAGCAAAATATACAACAAATACGCATCCACGACTTTAAGTTTGTTGGACGTCGTGGTGGTGTACTCCTCCAGAAACCGGGAGATAACTGAAATCACGGAATTCGACATGGTGTCACGGTTTGGTTGATGTTGAAAGCGTCGCTAAGCTAAGCTAGCACCGGTTCTTTTCCTCGGTCCAATGAGTGACGTGTCCCAGAAACCGGAAATCGCCTTGGTGCTACGGGTAATTGGTACCGGAAAGTAACGACGAATATGTTTCGCGGATGTATTGTATTTTATTTTTACCATTATGATTTAAATAAAAAACGTGCATAAATTACTTTTCTTTGTTTTTATCTATTTGTTTAACTACTTTATATTTACCTTTAATTTATATTTTATATCAATACTGTTTGGAAATATCAAAGGTGCAATTGTTTTTTCTACATATGTCTGCATGAGACTGAACTTTGATTAGAATGAATTAAAATGCATTTCTTTATACAAAAAAGAAATGTTTAAATATGAAATAACTAATATAGTATTAAAGTACCGTGTTATACACTTTAAATCGGGGTAGTACCACAGCTTTCTATAACAGTCCACACCTGTAAACAGGTACGACATAATTATACGATAGTTTGTTTAAACTATCTATATTTACTATAATTCTGTTTGTATATATGTTGTATTTTTGTTCTTACCATGAAAAAATGTTGAGTTGTATTTGTAAAGATGTTTTCTACTTTTATAATAAGACTTAAAAACTTTAGGCGAACTGTTACGTCATTCACCGGAAGCTAAATACTAATAGACTCCGCCCACTCATAGCTTTTTCTACAGTGAAAGATGCTGTATACTACATTTTCTAAATTACTATATGTTGAGCAGATGTCTAAATTTTAGAAGCATAGAAAACAAATGTATTTCTTTTTAAAACAATAAGATAGTAGACGCCAATAATGCATGTCCAAACTCGTCATTTTCTTTGTGGAGGACGAGTGTTACAGCTTTTTCATTGACGATCTTTGTGTTAGGTCAGCTGACTGAGGAATTTCGGAGTTACGAAAACAATAGAGAAGCGTAGTGTTACAAACACGGTGCAGTCTCGTGTTTATCGTAAATTTAAAACCCTTTCATATATACGATTAATGACTGAGGTGAATGAAAATATTATGATCGGCGATGGATCCTGGAACAGCAACAGCGCCCGTGAACAACGATTGTGAGACAGAGTGAGTGACTACAGCTCAGTGTAATTACTATATATAACAACACTATGTTGATATTTTTCTTCTTAAAAACTTATACAAACTAAGTGTGTGTGTGCCAGTTTTACTGTGGTCTTTATTACTGTTTACTGTGCGGATTTAAACCAGTGCCAATTTCACTGTGGTCTTTATTACTGTTTACTGTGTTTACTGTAATCATTGGTCAATATAATGGAATTACTCCAAAAGTCGGACAGGAGTGTGTTAGCTCCACGTGATCCGAGTATTATCTGTATTACAATCCATTACGTACACATAGGCACCACAGAGGTGTAGTGAATGAAGTATTGTATGGTATAATTTCATTGATAACATGTTTATTAGTGTGCAATAATTGTCAATGTGAGTAATATCTATGGTCACCAAAAGGTACATGCAGGTTTAAATGTAAATAATAGAAAATGTACCCACACTAGTGGCTACAATTACTTTTATTTCAGTATTTGTTTGTTTTTTATAGTAAATTAAATAATTCAATATTATAATAAATCAAGAATTAGGTTTCAATCATGTATAATCTATAATGGAAATCATTTTTACTTTAGTGGTCCTTCTGGCTGTTACACAACAATCACTAATGTGACTCAGCAAGTTTTATAAACAGTTGAAAGGCCTGCAGGTGAGCCCACCTATGTAGTGTTCCCACCTCCAATCAGAGAAGAAAGGGTGCGGATTATTGTCACATTGTTAATATTTGTTTTTGAGTCCAGTCAGTGAAACAGCCATTTTTATGGTAACTACTAACAGTTAGATAGTTTGGAAACGCGTTCATTTTCACCGTGACCGTTGTTCTTGCAAACAAATGGACTGTCACTATCTATGTTGTACGTAAACTTGGACCTGAACCAGAGACAGCCTTAACAAAGACTGAACCAAAGGTCAAAATAGCCAGGAGCTTGGAAATACCTGGCACTTTCCATAAAATCCAGGGCTCATGATGACCTTGTGCTAACCTTAGCATTTATACATGTAGCAATTAAAAGTTTGCAGAAGAGAGTGGAGTCCAGAAAAATATGAGTTCATTTAGTTGAACTAATAACAATCTACCAAAAGCTAAAATTAGCCTAATTAGCTAGATGGTTATCAGTCAGGAAATTAGTGAGTTAGCCAAGAAATTGTAGGAATATTAAATAAGACAATAAATTATATTAATAAATAAAATGTAGTCAACATGAGAACTGTTAACAACAAATAAATATATGAAAAAGAAACCTGTATCTTCCTTACGTCTCCTCATCTTCGAATTCTTCTGCTCTCAGGACAAGTTCATTCGGGAGCTGGTGGCCTTCGTGGCGTCCGACCTCCATGTCCATTTTGAAGACCACAGAGTCCAAGATTCTTGCCTGTAAGAAAACTGGTTCAAGCATCATTAATGACAGGATTAACAGAGTCGAACTCATTTTACATTCGTAAACGTTTACTTGATCTCGACAGGTATCCAGAATAACCTATGGGCCAGATTTGTAACCTTATCCAACCAGGATCGTATATGGACTCTGAGCCTGACCAATAAGGAGGCTCCTAAACCTAAACCTGCAAGTATGAACGTCATTGTGGTTTTTGTGCATCGTTAGTTTGTTTGTGCACCTGTTGGACGTTGATGTTTGTATGAACTTCACTGATGAAATTCCTCTGTTGTGACTCCGTAGCCTCTAAGACTCCACTGGTGATGGTCCACGGGTTTGGAGGTGGAGTTGGACTCTGGATCAGAAACCTTGACGCACTGAGCCGATCGAGGCCCGTCCACGCCTTCGACCTTTTGGGCTTTGGCCGTAGCTCCAGGCCTTCCTTTCCCTCGGATGCTGCCAAAGCAGAGGAGCAGTTTGTCAACTCCATTGAACAGTGGAGAGAGTCTGTAGGCCTGGATCGCATGATTCTGCTGGGCCATAGCCTGGGGGGCTACCTCGCCACATCCTACGCCATCCAGTACCCTTCTAGGTAGTGATGGTTAAAAGTAACTTCACATCAAAATCATTATGAGATATTAAAAAAACTGTTAAACTAGTTTTCATTTTTTTCCCTGTGATTGTTTGTAAGGTTTTCTGACTAACAGTTTTGCTGTTAACCAAACATCAAAATCGCCATCATTTTAAGGGTGAATAATATTTAACTACTGTAAAATTTGCTTTTTGCAGGTTGTCGTACGTTAAAACACCTACAGCAAAGCTCTTTTCTTTGTTCTTTGAAAGCCTGGCATTTTCTCATCAAAGTTCTTTACATGAGATTTTATAAACAGGCTTTCAGATATTCCAGGAGTCTCTTGACCCAGTCCTTTGATTACTCCTCACCTTGTTGTGAAGCACTTTTAGAAATCTGCAGACGTGGTTGAAAAAATATTAAATGTTGACCTTGCATTTTCATGCTTTCAGGTAGCACAGAGGAACGTTTAAATAACATCCATTTGCACACTGTCTCATGCTGGTTCTATTACAGTTGGTATAAAAACGAGCGACAGCTTATGTAAGAAACCTCTTTGTGGTTTTCTTTTCCTTCCAGAGTGTCTCATCTAATCTTGGTTGACCCATGGGGTTTTCCTGAGCGACCTCAGACAAAGAACCAGGAGAGCCAAGGTCAGGGGGCGGAGGTGGTGAAGAGGCCATCGCCTCCACGCTGGATTAAAGCTATTGCAATGGTGGTTTCCTACTTTAATCCACTGGCTGTCATCAGAGCTGCGGGGCCGTGGGGTGAGCCACAGTGGTGTTAATGGATGTAGAAGCTCTGCTGCGTGAAGCTTCTGTTCACTCACATCACACTGTCCCTCCAACTCAGGTCCTGGCTTGGTGAACAGATTCCGTCCTGATTTCAAAAGGAAGTTTGAAGACCTTTTTGACGATGACACCATGACGCAGTACATCTATCACTGTAACGCACAGAATCCGAGGTAAACCGTCGTAAAGGGCCGCAATTTGACCAAAAAGAACCCAAACCTGATTTTTATCTCATCTTCCTTCCCACAGCGGTGAGGTGGGCTTCCGGGCCATGTCCGAGTCTCTGGGCTGGGCTAAGAGGCCCATGCTGCAGCGGGTTCACCTGCTGCCTTCCTCCATGCCCGTCACCATGCTCTACGGAGAATACTCCTGGGTGGACAGTTCATCTGGAGAGAGAGTAATCCAGATTAGGAACCCAGCCTTCACCAAACTGATGGTGAGTGGAAACAGAGAAAACAGTCATGGCTGATTGCATTTAATCACAAAAAACAGTCATGGCTGATTGCATTTAATTTAGTTTTACACCGCAGTATCGTAAACATTATAATCTGCATAGAAATAAATCCAGCAGGTGGGAGTGATGCAACCTAAATAGAAGAATATTTAAATGGTTGGGGGAGGGTTAGGATCCGCCTACAGTAAGAAACTGATTGTTGCAAGTTATAAAACCGGATTTCTTCTTAGGAAATCATTTAAGGACAATTAAACCTGATTGGTTGTGAACCAACCTGAAATGTATGCATCTAAATGTATGTCTTACATCTGTAGGAACCATGCTCTTTTTTTTCTAAAGCTGAGCTAAACTTCTTGCTGTAACTGTCGGTTTTCCTTTTTCCACACAGCTGATACAGAAAGCCTCTCACCACGTTTATGCTGATCAACCAGAAGAGTTCAACAGAGCGGTGGAAAATATATGTCGCTCTGTTAACTGACCGTCTTAGTGTGTATGTGTATATGGTTGTATGTCAAAGACACTATAAAGAAAATGGTCATAGCTAGTCCATTGTGAACTATGATTTTCAAATCAACTGCGGTAGTACATGTATGACTTTTGTATTTATTGCACCAGTTTATTTATAGCCCAATGAAATGTGTTCAGTAGTGTGACCATGCAGAATTGTTTTTTTGTCTTAAAATAATTTACGTTTGCACATTTCACCAGTGCCTCACATTAAAATAGATAGATGTACTTTATTGATCCCATGACATTACAGTAGCATTCGCACTGAACTGTTATTTACATTTATATTGTTGGAAATAATAAAATGTTTTTGTTTTTTTTTATTTTGACGCCGTTCTATTGCACCAGGATCTTACCTCATTGTACTTTACAGCCCTGCCAGCAGAGGTCAGCAACAAGTGTTATTCCAAGGATCTGTGGGGTTCAGTTTTTGCCACAAAGCCCAAAGAAGAAGCTTGTGTAAAATGCTGTCAAAATAAAAGTACATTTCAGAATAAAATCCCAAACTCGAAAAACACAGCATAAAGACATAGACATGTTGAATAATCAGTGACAGGAAAACCTGAAATACTGGTAACATGGCTTATCTTGAACTGTTGGAGAACTGTTTTCAAACAGCATGTGCTCTTTGCCATGATTTCGGTGAAGGGAAAAACATCCATTGATGCAATGAGGTTATTGAGGAGCCAAGTTCCCAATTTTCTGACAATTCTGCAGAATATAACAAAACAAACACACAGAATTTGTCTTTGTTACAGACACTAGATGAAGTTCACTGAGTGATCTTTGATACAGCACGGTAACAAGGCAGGGGAGTTCGCAGAGATGGTATTTTACAGGCTGACACTTGCTCCTCCTGATGCGTGGATTACATGACATCATGTTCTCCTCCCTTCAACATTTACAAGGTGTGTCTGATGATGTATGCAGACTAAAAAAGAAAATGCATTAATCAAAGCTGTGATTTCAGTGGACGTTTTATTACCAAAAATCAAACATAAAACGGTTCTGCTAAATAAAGATGAAATAGATAAATAATGGCATTGTTAATAAAATAAGTTCCTTCACATTGTTCTTCGAGTGCTGACGTTAAACAGGCTGCGGCCTGTACACCTCAGGACTCGGGCTGCTCTGGTCTGTGTTTGAATGTGCTCTTACCTAATACTGCAAAGCTGATGTCAGTTCAGTTACACACAGAGAGACACATCAACAAAAGACAAACATGGCAACAACGACAACCACAGAGACAGAAGAAAGTTCAGTAAAAATAAAAGATTACCAAGAAGATTTCAGTTTTTGTTCTAAAATGATTCTGACCTTTGACATCGAGTCACAAAATATTCTGGTTTCAAAGTTAAAAAAATGTGCCTCTAACAAAACACTTCACAGTACCCTTCCTTCATTGAAGCCACAAAATGTTCATTTTGTCCAGATATTTTTACTCTAACTCGAATGAGACTTTAAGCACAAAACCCTGCCTGAACCTTCACACGCTGTGATCAGTGCCTTCACATGCACTAACTCATCAGTCTAAAAACTGGTTAATCTTACGTATGAATCATTTCTAATTGTCAATGTTAAACATGCTACAATTAACTTCTTTACCACAGGTTTAGCTCTTTAAAGCCATACATTTATAGTATTTCAAGTACAAAAAAAAAATCACAATTTTTGATAATGCTACAGTGGTTGAGTTTCTAGACGTAGTTTTAGAAAATCTTCAGATTATACTGTATAAAATACACAAAACAGGCTCCCGGCAGACCCCATATACTATAGATAAATGATTTTAGTTGATAGTTTCTAGAACTGAAGTAAAAAGGCAGGAGTGAGGTGTTCACATTTTTCTCATTTCTCAAGAACAACGATGTCGGCCACTCCGTGCACTTGTGTGAGCTGTTTGCAGTCAAGTGAAGCCACCAGCTTCCTGGCTCCGGCCTGGATGGGGATGAAGTGCTCTGTCAGAGTGACGGTGGCATTACTACCAACGTCACTGTGAAGGAAAAGCAATTGTGGATTTAAATTCTGGACTCAAATTGTTAAAAAAATATTTAAAAATCTTAAATACAAATTTTAAAAATGTTCTTTTCTTACCCAACAACTACTTCATGTCCCTTCTGCAGACCCAGGCCTTCTACTCTGAACACCACGTCCTTCAGTGTTCGTGGCAGCGGGTTGGTGAAGATGATCTTTGCTGCCATCTCCTTGCCAACGATGGCGTCTCCCAAAGGCTGCAAATACAAGAAGAAGAAAAAGGTGAGATTCACAGCATTTTGGATCAAGATGAATGAATGATACTATCGAACCTCCCACTCACCGTGATGCTGAGGTCGGGTGTACGCAGCCTGAAGGTGGTCTGCTTCGCTAACACCTGCTGCGTCTCACTGACTCTTCCAGACAGAGTTAGCATCAGTGCTGCCTGGTCCACCAGCTGGTTCTGGTACTGCTGGTATGGCAACACCCAGTCAATGGTTTTCTCTATGTGGGAAGACAAAAATGAACACAGACAACTCAGCTAAAAGTCTTTTTTTTGTTTTGTTTCCTCTGCTCAGTGCTTCAATAAGACTGTACCCCTTCATGGACCTCAAATGAGTCAAATGTGTAACATTTTTCCAATGACTCTCAGCAGATTGTGTTTCTTAGTTTATGTCGTGCATTAAAGTAGCCGGACGTGTCACGATGCTGACCTTCATTGGGCATCAGCTCCACAGGTATTTGATCCTTCTTGATGGTTCCCTTCAGAACACCGGTGTAGTACATGACCGCCACCTGGCTGTGCAGTGTGGCCTTGCGGGGAAAAGAGCTCTGGTTTTTCACCACAATGCTCAGCTTAGCATCGGCCCCCATCCTGGGTCCCTCACCCTCCATCTTCACCTCCACACCCACGTCCTCTGCCATGGCGGTGGAGTAAACATCTGGCTTGCTGCCATAGCGACAGGCTGTCTCCACAGCGATGCGTTCCTCATCTGAACCTGGATAGAGAAGACGGCGTTCAAAATGAGCAAATGAAAACGTTCACACTTGAAAGAAGTGTCTGAAACATCAGTGCAGGCAGTGAAGTTCTCACTACCTTCATGGTGTTTGTACAGGTGTGTGATGTCAGCTCGCTCTTCAGAACCGACTGCTTTGGTGCTGATACAGTGACCGACTGCCTTCTTCTCAGTGTACACCTGGCTGAAGGTGCCGTCCAAGTTCCTCTGCCAGTAGATCTTATCACTGTTGACCTGATGTGGAAAAATGTGGAAAACAAGTTCAAACACCAGACATTAAGAATGAGTTCATTTTAATGTGCATCGACAAACCCCACGTTTTGAGGAACCAAAACATGATAAACTTAATATTTCTGAGAACTGAGCTTTAGATGATGTTTCTACAGCAACCCCCCCAAAAAAAGTCAACCCAACCAAATTCAGTAGGTGAGTCGGTTCAAGAAGCAAATGTTTCTTGGAACTGGACCAAACAGTACCCACCTCAGCAAAGACAAAGGGAGTGTCATGTTTGAGGTAGACTTGGCCAGAGCGGATAGCGTTCACAGAGGCAGGACCGCAGCGGAAAGTGCCCTGGCTGGTTTCCTGTGGAGTGGAGTCCACCGCCTGCCAGCCTCCATATCCAGGAGGAAGGTCTGGTCTGGCCATCCAGCAGTCATTCCATACGTGGAAATTCCTGAAGAAGGGCAGTAAAACGTGTTCATTTAATGTTGCACTTAAAGAGACCAATTTTATTGTGGAGGGTAAACAGCTACACAAATGACCAGAAGCTCAGTGCTATATAGTACAAAGCCCAGGGGCAGATTTCTGTAAAGTCAAGTTAAAAAACCAGTCGGGTTGAGCAGTTGTCAGGCAGGATTTGTGGGTAATTGAAAGTCCAAGTTAAAGTCAAGTCAAGTTAAAAAACCAGTCAGGTTGAGCAGTTGTTAGGCAGGATTTGTGGGTAATTGAAAGTCAATGGCATCTCTGGGTCAGGTCAGTTTAGGAAGCTGATCTAAATATACGTTGCATTCCTAAAGTATGGAATTAGCGGCGAGCAATTTTCCATTTTAAGGGCACGGTGGTGTTGACTTTATAAAGTTAAACATCCTACCAGATGGAGTCATTGTTGAGGTAGTCTAGTGGTTCCATTTCCTCGTCCAAGTACACATCAGTGGTGAGGGACACGTCCGTATCATGAGCAGACTGGAAGTTGGTCACACTGCGGGCTGGGATTCCCAGGCAGCGCAGAACTGGAGACAAAGACAAAGCGAAATCAACTTCATCCCAAAGACCAGCAACCTGAAGGACATAAGGAACTGGTACCAGCTAGTACCGATCCCCCTGCAGTACTTGGTGGGCACCCAAAGAGTCAAGAACACCCTGTTGAAGACCGACTTCAACAAAGTTAATTTCTTTTCGCATAAATGAATGAAAGCAACACGTGTGTGGTTGTATCTGTGATAAAAGTAGAAGACACGACAGGAATGTCAGACCAAGTACTTTTACTACCAAAATACTTTTGTTATTTGGAGCCCAGATTTGTGCTGTCATGTGTGTGAGAGAGAGGGAGAGAGGGTTTGGGGGAGGGTGCAGTCGTGAGTGCAGAATGAATGAAATGTTTCTGCTGCTGCTGCAGTGACAGCTGACCCCCAGCAGGTCAGGTGTAGGATCACTGACAGAATGTTAATCAAACTGAATTTACATTCGGGCCTGGGACACGCACAACACTGAGGTGTGTGTGTGTGTGTGTGATCACATGCCACACAAATACACCATGTCTTCCCATTCCTGCAGCCATCACCCACTAAGATCCAGGCCTGTGTTCATAAACACTGTCACTATTTTGACCCCGCCCACTCACCTGTCGTGGTGACCCCAGAGAAGACCCAGCACTGTCCGTAACACACTGGCGTGCCATTGGATGAGTGGTACTTCTTCAAGATCTCCACGCTGCTGCTCCACGCAGCCGGGGAGACGCCGTCAGAGTACTTCCCAGACCAGTTTCCAACCAGAACTCCATAATCATCCTGAGCATTGATCTGAAAAAGGTTTAGTTTTAAATATATTAGCCATTATTGGGACATTTCACTATACCGTACTGATATTCTACAGCACAGTACAGTTTTTTTTTAATTAACATTTAAGTAACATTTCTTTTTCTTTTATTTCTTCTTTTGATTACAGTTTTACTACAATTAAATTGTTAAAAAAAAAAACGCAATATATCGTGATACATATCGTATCGGCCAACATTCTAGCCAATACACAGCCCTAGGTTTTACCAGTGCATTCATGTTGGCCAAAAAGCCAGACAACATTCTTACCAAAGCAGAAATGACTCGGACCACATTGACAGGGTCACCTCGACCAGAAGGGGGCATGTCGCTCTTTTCCAAGATGTACAGACAGGCCTCCAGGATTCCTTCATGAAACTACAAATAAATCCCATTAAATAATCATATAAATTGTACATTACCATTCATACATTTACATTCAGGCTGACTGAACATTGTGCATTCTGTGCAATCATTATTTAGAGACGGTTAAATATAATAATAATAAAAAACACACGTGTGTGTTTTTGTGGAAAACTGAACGTAGGCCATGAATGAATAACTTGTTTTCCTTTTTCTTGATTTCTACAGTGTTTGGAAGGAACTGTCTGAGGTTTTAGTGAATCTTCGAAGTGAAAATTTATATTCCCTGGATGGCTCCAATCTCAGACTGAATTAATTTTTATAAGAGAAGTGCGTAAGTAGCAGCCTGTACACTGCCTCATACATTACAATGAAACAGAGATTCTCAGGCTAAGACATGTCTCACTGTTTTGTTTTTTTTTTCTAATACAGATTTACGTGTAGTTTTCATCATAAAAGTATAAGAGTGAGATGTTGTTAGTTTAATGTAGATCATCTAAAGGGCCAGGTTTTTGTTTTTATTTTAGGAATTAAAGGACCAGGTTTTTGTTTTTATTTTAGGAATTTAAAGATTGATTACTACGGCCTTCCCACTGCCAATTATAAACAACCCAACTGACACCAAAGCCAAAGCTAACACTGTCTGTCTGTCAACTGCATGATAACTAAACTGGTGCTTTTATAATATGGGCAGCTACATTTTAAAAAAAAGTGTATTAATGCATAATTGCCTACATTTAATTTCGGTTTAATATGTCTAATTAATCACAATGACCCTTTAGAGTACCTCTGTGGACCTGTCAGGGGCCACAAACCCCCTTTTCGAAGTCTCAAAAAAAATTTTAAAAAAAATTTAAGTTGAGACATTCTGTCCTAATTTTTTTTTTTTGAAGTGTCTAAAAAAATTAAGTTGAGACATTCTGTCCTTAATGTTTTTTTTTTCTTGATCCACAGGGAATTGTGGTCTGAAAGCTTCGGCTCCAGGATAAATTCTTTGAAATTGTCACTTTGGTTTTATGGGTATTTTCTGTACTTTTTCATACTATAATGAATTCGCAAGAACTCATGATGACTTCATATTTCAACCTACAAGTTATAAAAAAAAATTTTATGTCTGTAATTTTTTTTCCTCTTTATTTTCACCTGGCCAAAGTTCCAAGTACGGGCACCAATTTGGTTCTCGGTGCCGTAGTAAATCCTTCCAGTGTCGTTCAGCACGTACTCCTTCCTCTCGTCCTCATCGTCCAGGAACACTATGTCCTCTGCAGAGACACCAGTAACATCAGTTATCACTGAACAACATTAAAATATTTCTTTTTCTCCATATACTGTTGCTTCCTTGGTTTACAAACGGCGTCTGTGTGACTCTAGTCTGTATTTGAAGTTAAAAGTGACCCAGAATCACATGTTTTCTTCACCTCCTTAGTGACTACACCCTTAAAGAATGTAATTCCTATTCACACCCCGTGTCTCCCAGACTCCCCATCATCAGGAAATGGAGAAACACAAAGACCTCTTAGACCTTGAGAAAAGGGGGGCCCTGACTCATTTATATGAGGCTCTCCAGCATGAGTGACATCACCGCAGCAGATTTGGGTGTGACCCCATGACACGAGCTTCACAGATGTATTATTCCTTGTTCTACCTTTTTATCTGCTGCTGATTCCTCTGTGGTTTCCAGACGGTACGGAAGAGGGACGTGACAAAGGAAGACGCAGTTAAAAGTAGCTCAGGATTGAAGAGGGAAGAGGTCATGAGAGACGGGGTGTGAGACAGAAGGGAAGTCATGCTTGTGAGAGAACGAAGGGAGGAGAGGAAGGGGAGAGGAAGGGAGGGAGGGCGGGGGGGCCTGCACAACGTAGAGTTTTGAGGATTTAAAAGGAGAAAGAAAAGAGAGGTGCATCTGACTTAATCAGACGGCTGTGATTATTCAGAGTTTCACTTCATTTTACTGAACATTTCTGGAATGTGCTGTGAACACATACACATACAGGATAAGGACGGAGGAAGTGACCATGAGAGATAGCAAAAAAAAACAGGTGGAGCACCAAAAAGAAGAACTTACATGGAGTAAGTGAAGCGTGGGAGTAAAAGTGGGGGAGAGAAGAGAAGGGGATTACAGTGTGACCACATCACTGCACGTTATATGGTATATGTAGGATTTTGACTGTTATGAGGGAATGAAACGGCTTCAGGCATTAGAGATTGACTGAGGGAAAGTGAGATTGGATGAAGTGCCAAAAGCAGGAGGTAATCATAACTGTGATTAATGACAACAGTTCAATCAAATCCAGTCTTTGGCCTTTTTTTTTTTGTAAAATTTGCAACGTAGCAAATTTGCTGTTTTTCTGACAAATTTCATGCTGCAAACAGCAGCAAGCAGCATACTGAGGCATCACATTCACTGTAGCTAGTTGTACTGCCTGTTGAGGAATACCAGACTTATTTTACCACATTCCTTATTATATATTTGCTTATCTATTTTTTTACTTTACAGTTTTCACAGTATCTATGTTGTTGTTTTTGCTGGAGGTCTATTGTAACTAATTTCTGGCTCATTTCTAGTCTAGCTTATTATGCATATGTGACTAAGTGATAAGAAGAAGAGTAAATATATATATATATATTTGCCATGATGCTGAAACATAAATAAATAGTTCAGATGGTGAAGTAAAGAAGTGGTGTGATTTGTTACTTAAGCGCCAGTCTTCGTGACTCGTCGCCATCTGCGTTACGTAACTCCCAGAGTTCACAGGATCACGCAGGAGTCATTTGATGGACGACACCAAGGACAGAGTTTTTCACCCATGTGTAACATTATATCAGGACAACTCTCACGGACAGAAGGTTCAACCGACGTCTGCACTATTTTGAACCACGAGCATTTTTAAAAACAAATCCTAGTCTGAACTAATCCAGCCGGTGGTTGATCTGTTCCTGATTATTCTCTTCCCTGTTCCTCTTCTCCTTCCTGCCCTAACTCCACGTGATGCCTCCTTACCTTCACACCAAGGGTTGAAGAGCATGGTGATGTTCTCGCTGCATGTGTAGGTGGTGGGGGCCTCGCCCTTTAGAGAGGAGGTGGTGACACTCAGGCCGTACAGACCGATGACGGCGGTGGCAGGAGAGTTGACCGACAGTTTCATCTTGTTGCCAGTCTCCTCCACCACCTTTGCCTCCCAGCGTTCGTCCTCCAGATGCTCCACCAGTGGGATGATGATGTGGGTGCCTTTGGAGACCATGGGCAGCGGACCTACACCAGACAAGAGAGATGTGAGTCTTTGTGCTTGGACATAACGTGGAATAAAAGTTAAAAAAGAAAACCTTACAGAATCTACCTGAGGATTTTAAATGCACACTCAAAAATTAGAAAACAGGACAAAATCAAATTTCACAAACAGGTCACAGGTCAACCTCTGACCTTTGGTCTACTATTAATAAAGTCTAGTCTGTGTCTGTTTGGGCAATGAGAAGAAACTGTGACTTGAATCAGTCTAACTAACCAACCATCATGTGGTCCATGTTTACTGAAGTGTAGCATAATCTCATTAGTCTCCCAGTGATGTTCTAAAGCATTTTAAGAATTTAAACAAAGTTACCACCCGACACAATACTGTAGCTTCATGTGTGTCAGAAAACTCAGAGACAGTCATTTTCAAATAAACCTTAACATGATGATATAATTGCTAGCTTCTAGCTATATTGCTGAAAATTCTGGGATGGTTTTTACAGGGCTTGGTTAAATATTAGTAATTTCCTGCCTTCAGTGTTTTCTTTCCCCTTTTTGTGTGTCCTATGTCTTATTTTTATTACTCTTATGTTTATCTTTTGCAATTGCCGGGCTGTTAATCAATGGCTGTCACTGCGGACCACTTCTGTTTCATGGCAACCCTGTGGTCTGTGCTGCCAGTCCCTGGAGGCAGCGTGAAGTTTACCAAGATCTCATTGTTCTCCTCTGACCTCAGAACGTTCCATTCTCTCACCTCTGAAGGATATCAGTGAAAAACATGGCAGCTCCTTAAGAATGGAATCGACTTTATTGAACGTAGACAGAGTCTGAAAATCTAGTCCTTTTAAGAGTTTAGACTTTTTTGGTATGTGATTTTTTGTTTTGTTTTTTGCATTCTTTATTAAATACACGCAAGTATTCGCCCTTTCCTTTCCTCCCTTCCATGTGTGCAGCTACATCAGCAGCCAGTAATCAATCCTGTGCAATGATGTAACAGCCGTTTATTCCCAGGAGTGCAGTGAGTCTTTGCCATGTGAAGTTTGAAAATACCAGAGGGAGGTGTTCAGTGTCCTGAGGTCTGGAAACTGTTAAGAGGAGGTTAGCAGAGTGGAATCCAAAGCTGGTGACATTAGTGAAACACCGTTCAATCTCAGCCTACCAGCCCTGCACAGCACTTTGGCCAAATGTTCTCCAACTGATTTCCAACAAAACTCATTCTTCTGGATTTCACAATGACTGGCAACTCATGAAGACTAACAACAGCAGTACTCCAGCATTTTTGTTTTACGTTCATAACTGTTCAGTCCAAATGGAGAGCATTTCTGCACCTGGATTTAACCATTTTTACAAAAAAAAAAACAACCCATTTACTCTTCCGTCAAAGTAAATGCTAGCCCCCAGATTGGTTCAATACAGAGGACAATATTAACTGGTGTGGCTCTAACTCAGTAGTTAGTGCGGTTATCTTAACCTGGCAGGGTTGTGGGTTCGATTTCAGACTTAGGTTTCATGCCACCCATTCACAACCTCTGGATTATGAGTACTATTTACCTCTATTTTTTCTTACAAATTCAGCTGATGCTCTTTTATTCACCATTAGTTTAAACAATGAAGAGTTAGTTGAAGGGTCCACACAGGGGAAAAGTGGTTAGTGGTCAGGCCTTACAGCAGGAAGATCATTGGTTTGTATCCCAGCATCTACTAAAGGTTTTTAAAAGTATATATGTTAATACTGTGTACATGGGTTTTCTCCGTGTACTACAGTTCAATCCTACTGTCAAAACACATTATATCTGTTGGATAAGCGACCTCTCCTGGTGCAGCACGTGACAGTACCTGTCTTCAGATCCAGATGCAGCTTGTCAGTGGAGGCGTTGAAGGGCCTGTTCAGTTCCATCTCTATCTGGAAGGTCTGCCCTCTACGGATGATCATCTCATCCCCGTCATACAGGTCTGTGTGGTGCTCCACTCTGTTCTGGCCGGTCTTGGAGCTCAGAAGGTCGACAGACTGCACCAAAACCTTGATGTCTGAGTGGGTGAGGAGGTGGGAGATCAAACTTAGGAACTTAGGGATGTGCAGCTGCTGAGAGGTGATATGACAACGACAGATTCTGTTTTTTACCTTCCACCTCTTTGGTCTCTCCATTCTCAGGTTTGGTCTTCAGAGGCTCCGGTGACGGAGGTTTGACCATCTCGATCTTGTCCGTCACATCATAGGAGGTGCTGCTCTGCCGCTTACAGCAGCACGGGCACATCTTCCTAAACCATCGGCGGCAGCTTCCTTCATCCTGCTTCTTTTCCTCTTTCTGGATGCTCAGCTCTACCCTGGTGGGCGGGGCTGCTCCGGGGAAACGACCAACATCGGATGTGCTTCTCACCATCAACCTTTCGCTCG